TCATAGGGCAGTTGTATACATTCACCATTACCTTTAAGTTCTATACTTCAATATATATTATATTTATGTGTTGTTTAGGTATTATTATATTATGTACTTCTACAGAGAGTTCTATAGGTGGTCTACATTAGTACACAGTGGTACCTACATGCTATTGATAGATTTTAAATTGAAAATTATTACAATATTTTATGCATGTGTCATTCTTAGCAGTGTGTCCAGTGTTTTTTAGGTTTTTTGGGTAGTGGTAAGCCTTTTATTTTTTTTTTACTTTTGTATACTAGCTATATTATATACTTTACGTTTAATGTGTTGTTTAGGTATTATTATTATTATTTTTTTATTATATTCATTATTATTTTTTCATCTAATTCATTCAAGCGGAATAACACACGTTATTGTTTATGGATTGTTATTTTCATTGACATAAATTAATATTTCCTATACCTTTGCCATTCTTATATAATATTATTCGGTGATTTATACGCAGTCACACAGATAATGTATTCTAGCTGATACAAGTTTTTTAGTTTCACTTTACATTTGATGCGTTATCTTCACAGTGCAAAATATAAATTGAATTAAATAACTCAATTATATGCTAATAATTCCAACTCTGTGCATCATTTCAATTGTAACTTATATTAATTAATATTAAAATTTAGTTACTCAAGACGTTTGTGTCTTACGCGTGCGCTACTACAACATTTATTTATCAAAACATATCATAATATAATATCGGTCACATTTATTGTATGCCAAACTTTACAAAATTTACAATTTAACGGTTGTAGGGATTCTTCATAATGTCCATTATATTTTTCAATGTTAAAGTAAAGAACTGTAAGTGTTCATGCAATATTCAAAAATTAGTTCTTAGTATGGTTAAACGTTTCAAATCGCTTCACTTCAAAATAAATTAAAATTATTAAACATTGTAATATATTATTATATTGCAATGCAATGCTATGCGTCTACAGAATAAAAAATAAATAAATTATCATAATAATACAACACCAAACGGTATCATCTTATATTGAGCCAGCCAATATATTGTTACTAATCTTTTCAATATTCCTTTTTAGGTACGTCAACTCGAGGTACGTCAGCCCGCCAGAAGCCGTCTGGCGATTGTTTTCGTACAAACTGCACGACAAAAGTCACACGGTCTTCAGGCTTCCCGTTCACCTGGAGGGTCGTCACAACGTGTATTTTCCGCCGGGCCAAGAAGAATTACGGCTACAGAACGAAGCTGTTGGTCGCACGAAACTCACGCAGTTCTTCGCGCTGAACGCGACCAACGTGGTGGCTCGACAATACTTGTACCAAGACATACCGATGCATTACACCTGGCAGCAAAATGTCAAACAATGGCGTCCGCGGGTGAATCGGATGACAAACGTTACATTGGCTCGGATGTACGTGGTGAACCCAATGGACCGGGACCGTTCCACCTAGCGTGGCGGAATTGTTTGGATGAATCGGCGTTGGTGGACACGCCGCGGCAACTGCGGTATCTGTTCGTCACTATACTGGTGTTCTGCCTGCCTGCAGACCCGCTGGCGTTGTACGAGAGGAACGAAGCGAACCTGATGGAGGACTTCAACCGGCGTCTCCAAGACGTCGACCGCGCGAGGGCCGCGTGTCTGGCAGCCATCGAGGATCTACTTCGTGGTCACGGAAAGTCACCCGCGGTCGACTACGGTTTGCCCCTCGCCGACCCTCTTACTACTGGAACCGCTGCAGGACGACAACGCGCTGTTCCGAGAAATAGACGCGGCGGCACGGTGGGCCCAACAAGTGGAAAACTTGAACGCCGAACAGCGAACGGTGTACGACCGCGTGATGGCGGCCGTCGAAGACCCAGTCGAGGTGACGCGAACTTTCTTCGTCGACGGACCCGGAGGTACGGGAAAAACTACGCTGTACGGATGCCTGATATGGTCGCTTCGGCGGGGGTGTTGTGCGTCGCGTACACCGGGATCGCCGCGTCGCTCATGAACGGCGGCATGACGGTGCACTCGACGTTCGGACTGCCGTTCGGCACGCTCACCGAAGACTCGACGTCCACCATCACCATGCAGTCCGCGCGAGCGCAGAGGATACGCAACGCGGCTCTCATCGTCTGGGACGAAGCCCCCATGTCGCCGGGACTGCAACTGACGCTGGTGGACCGCCTGCTCAAGGACGTCATGGTTTCGAACTTACCGTTCGGCGGTAAAACCATGCTGTTCGCCGGCGACTTCAGGCAGATATTGCCCGTGATCCGGAGAGGGACGAGAGCCGAGATCGTCATGTCGTCGATCAAGAACAACCATCTCTGGAACGTCATGGAGCGCTTCGATCTGGTCCAGAACATGCGCGCGGGCAACGACGCGGACTTTGCGTCTTGGTTGCTTCAGCTCGGCAACGGCCAACTGCCCGCGGTCGACGGCGTTCCGGACACGGTGGAAATCCCGCAGGAAATGGTATGCGACGTCGCCGATTTAATCGATTTCGTGTATCCGCAGCAAATGTCGTTGGCCAACGTCGAAGAATTTGCTCGGAGAGTCGTCGTGTGTCCCACCAACGAAGAGTGCAGAGGTGTCAACGCGGACGTGCTGGAGCGCTTCGACGGCAATTCGGAGACCTACCAGGCCGTCGACACCGCGGAGGTGGACGCGGCCGACGAAGTTGCCAATTTCCCCACAGAGTTCCTCAACACTTTGGTACCGGACGGCCTGCCGCCGTTCCGGCTCGAGTTGAAGGTGGGGTGCATCGTCATGTTGCTCAGAAATCTCGATCCGAGGAGACGACTGTGCAACGGTACGAGGTTGGTGGTCACCGAACTGCGGCGACACAATTTCAAGGCGAGGATTTTGGGCGGTGACCCACGGGACGACGACATCGTCCTGCCCAAGATACCGCTCAGGTCCAGCGGTGAGGACGACCTGCCCATCCCACTGAAGCGCATTCAATTCCCGGTGAGGTTGTCGTTCGCCATGACCATCAACAAGTCGCAGGGTCAGACGTTCGACAGGGTAGGTTTGCTTCTGACGACGCCCCCGTTCACTCACGGGCAGCTGTACGTGGCGTTTTCGAGGGTGAGAAACGCACAGTCCGTGAAAGTCGGCATGTACGCCGATGACAGCGGGCGATTCGTCACCAAGAACATCGTGTACAGGGAAGTTCTGTAATGCAATAAGTGGTAAGTATATTCTAGGTGACGTCCGACGATCGAGTCTAGATGATGGTGATAGTCTGGTTGACTTTAAACCTGACATGTGTAACATATTTTTCAAACACAATACGTTACACCGCTGTTATACTGGTCTGTATACTACATGCGCCCGATGATAGTCTGGTTGACTTTAAACCTAACATGTGTAACGTATTTTTCAAACACAATACGTTACACCGCTGTTATACTGGTCTGTGTACTACATGCGCCCGATGATAGTCTGGTTGACTTTAAACCCAACATGTGTAACAGTTTTTTTTAAACCTAATACGTTTTTCAAACTTAATAAGTTATACCGCTGTTGATAGTCTGGTTGACTTTAAACCAACATGTGTAACAGTTTTTTTTAAACCTAATACGTTTTTCAAACTTAATACGTTACACCGCTGTTCTACGTGGTCTGTGTGGAGGTGACTTCGTGATGACCTTGCCTTCGGGCTAAACGGAGAGAAAGTTTGACAACCTCCTCGTGGTTCTCTTTGGATGCGGATTCACTATAATGTGAAGCCGTAACTAATGTCAAACAATGTATGTAATGTCTGTGTTATTTGTATAGATAGTACAGATAGTGCAGACAATTTATTTAATTTGAATGTTGTATTTTATTTGTAATGGAACATTAATTTAAGATTCTAATGTACCTAAATTATATGATGTAAATAACATTAATAAGTCAATTTCACTATGTTTGTTGTAAATTAATGGAAAATGTATTAATTACATTGATTGTTTTATTCACTAAAAGAGTATTAGATTGTACACTGTAAATTGTATTACTATTATATTACTACTGTTTGTATATAAATATATAATATATTGTATTTTTACAATACTTAGATAATTGACATTTTACTAAGAGTTGTATTTCTTTCTTCTTGGTTTTAACATTAATAAGCAATTTTACTATGTTTATAATATGTATATTAATTTTGAATACTAAATCACTGTGAACCGCTGTTAATTAATGAAGACTGTATTAATGGTTGAAAACTTACTTTATTTTATTTGTATTGTGTTTATTAATATGTAAATTTCACTGTACCTACTCACGATATTCCTAATATTTTGTACACTTTGTATCGCTGAACTACTTGATTAATTTATATTGTATTAATGGTTGAGAGATCGTTTAGGCCGGCCGCACACCAAAAGAGCAAAACTGTGTTAGTCATCGTTAGTCATTTTTGTCTAAAGTCAACTAAAAACAATTTGTTTTGGCCGGTCGTACACCAAAAGAGCAAAACTGTGTAAGTCATCGTGAAATTGTAGTTCAGTATTTCAGTCACCAACATGTCTTCCGACGAAGAAGAAGTTGTTGTCCCTATTTTGTGGTCTTTGTTGTTAGATATCGAAAAAAATGAAAAACAAAAAAGAATGTGGGTTCATCCTTTAAATGAAAAACGTACAACAAATAATTTAATTAAATATTTTTTACGTGAATTACGTAATGATGATTTAAAATTTAAAAATTTTACGAGAGTAAGTCCTGAAACATTTGATTACATTTTGAATATAATTTCTGAAGAAATTCAAAAAGCTGATACTAACTTCAGAAAGAGTATCAAACCGGATGAACAATTATTAGTCACATTGTGGTAAGTAAAATTTAATTTAATTAGTACCGAATTAAGTAATATATATTATATAATATATAATTTATAATATATTGTAACAAATTTATTTTAATGTAATAATCTAAATTATAGTTTTATATAATTACTTATGAAATACATTCAACTTGTTTATTTTTAAATTATTTCATTCATCACTTAAAAATTATTTATATGAGTCCTTGATATGAGTTTGAACTTTCTGAAGAAGACAATAATTCTGGACTTTCAGGAAAGAGAAACTGTGTAGTTTGAGGCGTGTTTTGATTTAATGGTTGAGGCTGAATAGTATGCTGTTGGTTTGGCTGTACATTGTTTGAATATAATGGCGAAAAGTTACTTGTATATATCGATGTTGCTGAAGATGAAGTTTCTTGTTCATCAAGTAGTTGATCCAATGTATTTAAAACAGTGTTTTTAAATCTACGCTGGTTTTTGTTATTGAGTTTTTTAATATCTGGTACTAAACTTTTTAAAAATAATAGTTCTGGTGGATCTTCAATTGGATTGACTTTAGGAGTAGTTTTTGATTTTAAATAGCTGATCATTGGTTCTGCAATCATCTCACTTGCTAGAACTTTTTTAATTTTTTTCGGTTTCTTAAACTCGTGTGCACTTGAACTCTGTTCACTATCTATTTCTTCATCCACATTTACACCTGGGTTCAACTGAAGCGTCACATCAGGGTCTTCCTCAACATTTGGAACTTCAGATTCTTCAACATTTGTATAGGTTGTTTCATCCAAATCATCCGCAGTAAGGTTACTTGTCATAGTTTTGTGTTGCAACATATAATCTTTTAAGAACGCCATGTTATCGTATAAATACCATTTCCTTTTTTTCGTTGCACCGGACCCAGATGTAAATTTCTTTTCCTCACGCAATTGTCTAGAAAACGAATTACGTAAAGTTGTCCATTTGGTTTTACATTCTAAAACTATAAAGAAAAAAAAAGTGAAGACCTTATAGCAGGTTTCATCTATAATACATCAATATGTACTTAATGAATAAAATAGTTACACAATATGGGTACTTTAAAAAATTAGAAAAAATGTTTTATGTTAATTCAAAATAACTAAAAAATGTAATGGATTTAATTCAAAAAAATTACTGCGTAATATTAGAAAATTATGTCAAAAATCGAATTTTTCTATGAATAAAAATATAGAAAAATAAAAACAATATTATTGTTGAGTGTGCACAAGTGTGTCACTTTTCCACAGTTTTGTATTTGTATAAAAAAATGATCCATTATTATTTTATTTTAATTTATTCCTCATAATTTATGTTGTAATTAATGTTACAGTTATTTAGCGTCTGGTGAACGTTTTCAACGATTGCACTACCATTTTCGTTTGGGAGCTACAACCATTGGAATAATTGTTGATTCTGTATGCTCGGCGATATGGAAATTACTATCTCCTATTTATTTGCCATCACCAAAAAAAGAAGACTGGATAAAAATAGCAAACGATTTTAATGAAATATGGAATTTTCCAAATTGTGTTGGTGCAATTGATGGTAAACATATTTCTATTATTTGTCCTCCAGGTGCCGGATCGGAATATTACAATTATAAGGGCTATCATTCAATTGTACTACAAGCGGTAGTCAATGCTCACGCAAAGTTTGTTGTCATAGACGTTGGTGATTATGGTCGATCTAGCGACAGTGGGATTTTTAAAGAATCTTTATTTGGTAAAAAATTAATTAATAATAAATTAAATTTGCCTGCACCAAAAGAAATTGACCAGCATATAAACGAAGACTTCCCTTTTGTATTTGTTGGAGACGAAGCTTACCCACTTTTACCAAACCTAATGAGGCCATTCCCTCGCAGACAGTTAACAAATGAAAAACGTATTTATAACTATCGTTTATCCCGTGCTAGGAGAATAGTAGAGTGTGCATTCGGAATAATGGTAAAACGATTTAATGTATTGGAAAATAAGATGTTAGTTGGCCCCGAGAAAGCTACTAAAATAACTCGGGCGATATGTGTACTGCATAATTTAATTATGACAAGGGAAGTAAACCTTGCAGAAATTCATAATGAAATTGAAAATAATCATAATCAAACAGAAATAAGAAGCGAAGCAAATATTGTTCATCATAACAGATCTTCTATAGCAGCTATCGAACAACGTAATAAGTTTATGGATTTTTTCAATTCAGAAAATGGTTCAGTTCCTTGGCAAGACAGATATTTAGTTTAAAAAAATAATTCTAGTTCTAACTTTTAAAATGTAATGTAATTATGATAATATGAATACATTTGACAATTTTTTTTTTTTAATATAAGGTTAAAAATTAAGTTGAGATATATAGATAAGTTGAGTAGATTTGAAGTGCTTTATTTTATTTTTTTTATAATTTTATTTTATAATTATTCAATATAATTTACTACTTATTTCTATAAAAATATATTGACCAATGATCAATTTTATTTTGTTAACTTTACTAAATTATTTGTTTAATTACATATGTAGTATGTATCAGACATATTTCATACCATTATAATGGAAATTGAAAAAGTGAATTATTAAAAGTAAAAAAATATAAAAATCTAAAAATATTTGATAATATATTCGGCTCAGCAGCGTATACTTACTATAAAATATAGTATATGCATGCTCAGGCCGTGTCGCATTATTTTGTACAATAGTAAGTAAAAATTTTGATTTCATATAAAAACATAAAATAGTTCGAAATAACGTAAGGGCTTGAGCAGGAAGGAACTCAGCTGCGAAACCTAGAATTATATTATTATAAAATATTATAGGTACCTACCTGGAGCTTTTAGTATTCTGGATATTTCTGTCCATAATTTTTCCTGAACATCTCGGTTACTATGTTGTTTATCTTTATAATTATAGATGGAAGATCTTTGTTGAACAAGTGTTATGAGTGTTTCCAGGTCTATATTTTCAGTGGTCATAGTAAAGACTGAGTAGAAAAATTAAAAATAATACGTCATATGTTTATTATTTATTAATATATTATGTGGATATATGTTTATAATTACCTTTATTATATAGGTATACAAAATGTATAACGTATAAAAAAATTTAAAAATGTATATATTAATATATAATATATTAATGAGTGATCGTTCTGCAACGGGTGCGGTATCCAACTAGGTAGTTAACCATATGATAACGGAAAAACTGGCGGTTTGACTGATAAAAATTGTTTTGTTTTGACTGGCGGAATAGAGCATGTTCTATTTCGATACAACACGATTAGTCATGACTAGAATTGACTGAAGAGCGAAAATGTTTTGTTTTGACTATGACTTATCAGTGTGCGGATTTCACTGAATTACATGTGTTCTATTTTTAATTAGTCATAATAAAGCTGCCTCAGTCTGCTTTAAGCAGTTTTGCTCTTTTGGTGTGCGGCCGGCCTTAGATTACTAAATATATAAATCTTCACATATAATTATTATTGTATATTATAATAATCGACATATTTGTATTAATTGTTTTACTCACTATTCCCTAATAGAGTATAAGTTTTTTGTTAAACACCATTTTCTTCTTCGTTTTATTCTAATTATATTATAAATGTAATTATTACAATATTTATATAATTGACATTGTAGTAATTGTTTTGTTCAGTAAAAGTAATGTTTTTTTGTTAAACACCATTTAATAGTTGTATTTTAGATTATTACTACTGATGTGTATATAAATTGTAATTCATTAAATTTAATTATATTTACATTGACAATATTTGTTTTGTGTCTTTGTGCCACTGAAGAGTGCCATTGGTTCTTAATTAAGTGAATATCATAAGAATAAATAATTTGTAAAAACATACAATTGATTTTAACGACATAATCATGGTGCATTTGTTCAATGACGATTTATTAAAATTCACACACATTTCTTGGGTCAGGGAATGGATCCCCTCAAAAAGAGTAAATTACTCAACGTTTAAATTAAATACTTTGTTTTGACAACAAATGCTGTAAGCACAACATTTAACCGTAATAGTAGGAATAACTAATAACGATTTAAAAAGCCATTCATACAGTGCATATCTTAATAACAATGCGTAGATAGGTACTAGGTGTATAAATGATAAGATACTGCATATTATTATGTTATTTAAATTTTTATGGCAGTGTTCGAACGGCTGTTGTAGATATTTTTTGTATAAACACCATTTAATAGCTGTGTTCCTTTCTTTTTCGTTTTATATCTAATCTAATCTAATAGGTAATACATTGTAATATATAATATAACATTTTGTTAGTTGCGAATTGCTGTTGATTAATTTTTTTCTTATTATTATTACTGTTTCACATAATATTATGACACCATTGATGACACTATTTTATTATCTAACAATTATAATATTATGTAGTGTGTTACTACATACTACGTCACCGTGAATGGATATAATTTCTTTTGTCACTTTGTGGTCATTGCTGTGAATAATAGTAACTCTCAGATGAGACAGAAACACATATATTATTTACTTTTTTATGTCAAAATTTTGCAAGTACCATTCAATATTATAGTAGACTGCTAATTTATTTATTTTAGTGGAGTAATGCCACTGTACAAATTGCTGTTAACTATTTTTAATACTTATTATAATATCATAGGTATTCTTATGTAAAAAAGTTAAAACAATATTTAATAGTTGTGTAATTTATTTTATATTATAAGTCAATATTTTTACAATAATTGATGTTGTATTTGTTTTACTCATTGTAGACTATTAATTCTAAAATCTTTTAATGACGTCGTATTTATTTATTTGTTACATACTTTAGACATAATTCTATGCAACACCTACCTAGGTCATTAATTTCACTGAGATCCTTAGAACCCTTATAACTATTATCTTATTTGATCCACACACCACACATATAATTTATTGTGTTACAATAGTATGAACAATATGTATTGGTAACTTATAGAAATTTAAAAAATCTTTCATACCGTACGCTCAGTACACACATAGTAATTTCAAAATATACAGTTGGAAAGGAAAAGGAAAAGAAAATATAATTGTAAATGAAATAGTCATGTTTTTTATCCCATTATTTTATTGATCATCTGAAAAAAAACATAACGAATAAACGTAGAAAATTGTTTGTTGAGAAAAAAATGTTCCTGTTAAAAACTTACATCGATTTTGTGATTCTGCTCTCGGCACCTGAAAATAATATGTTTGATTAGAATTATTAATTTCAAAAACTAAAGTATTTATATTTATATTGCATCCTTACATCGCACTGCCCCGGCGGTGTAGGAGGCATCACTGATTTCCTGAAAATGATGTGTTTAATTAGAATTATCAATATCAACACTTAATATTATATAAATATATCCTTACGACATTTGGCGGCGGCGTCTCGCAGGCGGTGACGTACAGCTGCTCTTGAAAATAATTTGTTTAATTAGATTTATCAATTTATTTTTTTAAATTTTTTACTAATATATCTTTAAAGTGCATACCAGGGGCGGAGTGGCCGGTCTGGAAATGGGAATTTTCCAGATGGCTTGGTGGCCTGGCCATTTTGTTAGATTTTTTTTTTAATTTAATTTAATTTACAAAATATTAGTTAATGCTATATGCGTCAAAAATTTGTTTCTATTAAATTATTGTATTACAAATACTATTAATGCAATAATAGTACATTGGGATAGCCTCGTACAATTGTATACTCTTATGATAAGGCTTTGGATATAAAATTACAAAATATTTGGTACATAAATATAGACATAAAATAAAATCAAAGCAATATAATATTGATATAGGTCGGTTATTTTTATAATAAAACACCCATTTTAAACATTGAAGTATTTTAAAAAACAGGCTGAGAAATTCAATGACCAATGATTATCTTGAGTCTTTTATGCTAATGGCCATTGAAAATAAAATTCTCATGGAAATAGATAACAATATTATTATAAATTAAAATGCTGCAGTTGGTGAGAAATCTAAGCTATTATCTAAATTATTACTATGAATGTATAAATCTTTTTATTATAATATATTGTTTACAATGTATGTATTTATCTATTACTTATTACCTTATATCTACTAAACCTAAACAATTAAAACACAATGTTTAATATAATTATTAATATTTCGTTGATTTCAACTATTAAACCATACCTACTAATTTTATTTTTCAGGTATAAGTACTTAGTGGTATATTAATGTAATGTGTTAGAAGACAGAAGTTAAAAGAAATAGCAAGATAGTGATTGAAATACTTTTAAAATACTATAAGTAGTTTTGAAATACCTAGGTAAATAGAAAAACCAAATTCGAGCTTAGAGAGAAAAAAAATTTTGGTGGATAAATTTTAAACTCCCGGCCTGGATTTGGTTCCCACTCCGCCCCTGGAGCATACTAATATATTATACTTACATCTTTGGACGGTGGTGTCGTGGCCGCTCGGCTTCGCGACCGTTGCCGACGGACCTCCTGAAAATTATTCGTTTAGTTAGATTTATCAATTTTGAAAACTTGAATATTTTTTTAAATTTTTTACTTATATATACTTACATCGTTGGAAGGTCGAGCCGCGGCCGCTCGGCTCTGCGACCGTTGCCGACGAACCTCCTGAAAATTATTCGTTTAGTTAGATTTATATAGAAATGTAATTAGATTTATTTTTAAATATAAATATATATCCTTACGTTTGACGATGGTCGTGATGTTGGGGAGCGGGATCTGGGGAGGGGCCTAGCACGGAAAGCCCTGCCACCTCCCCTACCACTGCCACCTCCCCGACGCCTTACGCCATCACGACCACTGACGACGTCGACACCACCTCCTCGCCGCCTGCCACCACTACGACCACTGCCGTCGCCGCCGCCACCACCTAACCGCCGGTCACCACCGCGGCCACCACCTACACCTCTGGACTTGGCTACAATATAATTTACAATTTATATACATAATATTAAGACTGTTATTGAGGAATATGTAAAGGAAACACTCACCGCAATCCCGGGAGAGGTGGCCTCTTTCCCCACAGTTGTAACATTCTAAAACGGGGAGATATAATATTTTAATCGTTTCTAATTTCAATTATTAACCAAATGTATGCTTACGTCGGACGCGGTCCTCCTCTCTCCCGATGAAAACGGTGTATTCACCAGAAAAATTGAAAGTAGGTACTCATTCTAAAGTTAATAAATAAATACAAATAAAGAATGTTGAAAAAAACAATTGATCTGCATTATTAGGTTGGTGATATTATAAAATATTAAATTCGTTTAACTAAGATACGGTTCTCTTCGCAAATGTATATGGTATAAGTGGTATAACTTTGATTAATGCGATCGGAGGTGAACGTGTTAAAAACAAAAAAAAATAGAAACAATATTTAATTTGTTTCACAGAAACCATGTGTTGCAGACAAAACTAAGGCTCGATTTTTGTCGCAAATTTATATATTATTATAATAAGATATTACTGATTCATAAATACGATCCGCGTTGGACGTGTTAAAAATACAATCCAGTGTATCTTATTATACTCATTCTAAAGAAATAAAGAAAGTGTATACTAAAACTTTTATATTATTATAATAATTTATTAATTGATATATACGATCCGCGTTGAACGTGTTAAAAAAAACAAGTCCCTCGTGTACTCGTGTACCTACGCTTGGCAATTGCCGCTAATGTTTTATACGTTGTTACTCTGAAGTTGACAAATAAAAAGCAATAAAGAAATTGTATAGTAAAACGTAGCTATAAGTGATCTGTCGGTATTATATTATATGTTGACTAGCTCTAACTAGGATAAAATATTAAATTCGTTAATCGGAAAGCATGTGTTACATTATATTAATTGATAAATTACCTACGATCTGCGGTGTAAACGTTTTAAAAAGCCACCAATTAAATTAATAATACAATATTTATAACAGTAATATTACATTGTATACTCACGTGTTTC